TTGGGGGGGGGGGAGGTGGACAATGACCAAGCAAAGGTCTAGGAACCACTGAGCTTTCTGGTGGGGAAGGGTGATGGGAAGCCATGAGAGGGTTTATAACAGGAGGGGGCAGGGTTAGATCTGGGGCATGGGGAGGGGGCAGTGCTGGCTCCAGAGCCAAGCCCAGCAGGCTTTGTTTATCTTCCATTATTTATACCCAGGAAGGCAAACTTCCCTGCAGTCTGGGGCCACCCGCAGACAAGACACATAAAGATAAAAGATTAGGAGCCCTGGAATGTGTGTGTTGCAGGGAGGTGGGGCTGGATAATTATTTCAGAAACCTGGGATCCAGGCTGGGCTAAGGCCCTAGAGCTCCCCAGCACTGTAAACAGTCCCACCAAGGACCATTCCTTGTGGGGGTGTCTCCCCCCCAGCTCCCTCCCACCTGCCTCTCTCTATTACTCCCTGCTCCATGTCTCTCTCTTGCTTTTTCCCCTCTCTGCCTCCCCCTTTGTCTCTGTCACCATCTTTGTCTCTGAGCCCCCCAATCCTTCACCGGCCCCCATTTCTTTCTCTTTGTCTCCCCTCATACAGTACTACGAGATGTCCTATGGCTTGAACATTGAGATGCACAAGCAGGTACGCCCTCTCGCTCTCTCCATGGCACCCCCAGGCAGGTAGGAACCCGCCCCTTGGCTGAACACCAAGTCTGCCCTTGTGATCCAATCTTGTTCCCTCCCAAGCACCCCCTTCTTTCTCAAATCTCCCTGGGAGGTGGTTCTGCCTGAGGAGGAGGGACAGAAGCCTTCCTTAGATCTGCCACCCCCACCCTGTTGTCTCCCCTTTGTGACAGTGGCAGGAGGCTGACATATACTCATACTCACACACCTGAGACCCTAAGATTGCTTCTCACCCTCCGGCCTTGCTTTAGCCATCTTTGCCTTGAGGAGGCCCCTATCAATGATGTCACAGAATAATACTACTGCCCCCACCCTCTCCCTCCCACAGATTGCTCACTACCTACCAGGCTCTGGGTGCAATCTTCCCAGGGCCTCCCAGACCCTGAGTTGCCCAGTCTGGAATCCGGACTGTGCCTATGCTATTAGCTGTAGGGCTGAGCACCAGCCTCAGTTCCTTCTTTTGCCACTAATTGGATACCGCAGGGCTCCATGTGTTGATCCCACCCTGGGCTGAGCAGATTCCTCAGGGAAAACCCCAGGCCTTTGGGGCTGGCCTGCACCTGTGCCTGTGAGGGGACTAGGGACTAAAGAGTCTGTGTTTGTTCTAGGCTGAAATTGTCAAGAGGCTGAATGGGATCTGTGCCCAGGTCCTCCCCTACCTTTCCCAAGAGGTAAGCAGTGCCCCCCTCCCCCAGCTTCAGAGAGGAGGAGGTAGATGGACCATGAACTTGCTCCTGGCCCTCCCCACTGCAGTCATCTGGGGCAGCAGTGATCTGGGCACCTCAGGGCACATGCCTCCCCTCTCTGGACCTCCCAGCTACTAGCCAGCCTGTGCAGAATAATCCCCAGGCTGGAGAACCCCCAGGGGTGCAGGGCAATAGAAGGAGGGGCCTCACCCTGCTGTGGAATTCCTAGCCTGAGTGAGTCATTTCACTGTAAAAATGTCAGCTATGCCAAGGGCTGTACCAAAAATTTTTTTTCCTTGTTTTGCTTCCACCTTTCACCCTCCTGAGATTCACCTGCCAGGTTCTATGGGCTGCTTTGGGCCAGGGACAAGGAGTATGTGAGGGGAGGGCACTCTGCACACACACGGAGACATACACACACAGATAAACATAGATGCAACATACAGATATACATGGAGCACACACATACACATAGGCACACACAGATACATGTTTGTGCAAATGTGCAGAGACATGCACAGATACAATTGTGGACACGGACACATACACAAGCACAGTTGCATACAAATGTAGATGCACACAGAGGTACACAGTTGACAGAGGCGCACATGGACACATGCACATACCCAAGAGAACCAGGCGCCCAGCTCTTCCTTTTACTCTTTTTGGGGTTCTTAGACTCTTAGTGTAAGGCCCTCTTCACACAGACCCTGCAACTGCACCCCACCTGACTGTGTAAGGCCCAGCTCCTGCTCTCTGCCAGGTTTACTATCTATAATTGACCATTCCCTCTTTAATCCCTACCCATATCTCAGGGACTTTTGGGTTCTTATGTGCCTAGGAACCACTCCAGAAGGTCACCATGAAAACTCCAGAGAAGAGGGTTCTGGGGGCCCTGCTGACCTAGACTTGTGCTTACCTTTCATGACAGGGGCTTCCCAGCAGCCAAAGCAAAAAGGAAGACTGCAGATTCTAGCATCTGATAGCAGGAGGGGTGGGAAAAGGTGGGAGATACTCCCTGAACCTAGACTCATACCCCAGCCCTGCCAGAATTCACTGGGCCATCCCCAGCTGTGGAAGGACAGGAGCTTGGATTAGCAGATCTCACAGCACAGTCTCTGAGCTCTTGAAGGAATAAGACTTTCCTGTACAGTTGGCCAGGTTGTGCTCTGCGTTTTTCTTTGCACATGGCATCAGATAGTCATGATCCAAGGTTTCTCTCCTACTCACCCAAAGGCCTTTTTCTAAGTATCTGGCCCCAACCCCTTTGGGTTTTCTACGCATCTCCATTTGTCCCCATTTTCCAGATGAAGAGACTGGGGCTTGGTGAAAGGAAGTGGCTGGAGAGAGGGGGCTTTCTGGTGGGATGGAAAGCCATGGGGGTTGGGAGATAGCACTAACAGGACAGATTGGAGTCGGGCTTCTCCTGGGCTCTAGCACAAACCCCGTGTGTCCTCTCCTTCCAGCACCAGCAGCAAGTCTTGGGAGCCATTGAGAGAGCAAAGCAGGTCACAGCTCCAGAACTGAACTCCATCATCAGAGTAAGTCTGGGGTCTGGGGTGGGCGGGAGGATGGCAGGTGGCAAGTGGGCCCCAAGTGACTAACATCCCCCCTCCCTCTGCCCTGCAGCAGCAGCTTCAAGCCCACCAGCTGTCCCAGCTGCAGGCTCTGGCCCTGCCCCTGACCCCACTGCCCGTGGGGCTGCAGCCGCCTTCACTGCCGGCGGTGAGTGCGGGCACTGGCCTCCTCTCGCTGTCTGCACTGGGCTCCCAGGCCCACCTCTCCAAGGAAGACAAGAATGGGCACGATGGTGACACCCACCAGGAGGATGATGGGGAAAAGTCAGATTAGCCCATGGCCAGGATGGGGAGGGTGAGGGGACAAAGAAGAGACAAGATACACAGAGAGAGGAATGTTCACCGCAAGACAGTATAGCTTGGGACTGGCTAAACTCCGGTAGTATTTATGGTAGCTGCTGGGGCCTTAGCCCTGCTTGTGTGCCACCTCCTAGCTTTGCTCTGGCTCCCAGCCTCCCTCCTCCTCTCCCCTGCAGCCTGAATGGGTCACAGATAAGGCAAGCTGAGGCCTGGAGATGAAAATGGGAGGCCAGGTTAGAAGGGAGCAAAACCACAAGAAATCTAACACCCCCTGCACTTCCCCATTTCGCACATGTGTAACTGACAGTCTGCCCGCTGGGCCCCCTCAGGGCACACCCCAGCCTCCCACCCTGGCACTGCATGCAAACACAATGCTAGCTGCCCCTTCCTGCCCTGGGCACCCGTCTCTCCCTCTACCTCCCACCCACTCACTTCTGCTAGTTTCAGATGCCCATGCCCACCTGGTCCTCTCTCCTCGCCCACCGAGGGATGAAAGTTCAGCTGGGATGAGCAGGGTGGAGGTGGGCAACCCAAGATTCCCCTTCTCCCTTTTCCGAATAAAGATGAGGGTACTCAAGTTGTCTTGGTTTTTATTTTATTTTTTTTCTTTTTCCAGTATACTAGCTTGTCTTTTAAGAGAGGGGATATTAAAAAAAAAAAAAAAA